TATATACATACAGGCAAAACCAATGGTTCCTAGATGACTCATCTAACGAACCTAAATGACCGAAATAGTCAAAAAATATGAATGTCCAGCCCATCGACGGTACCTAGTTGACCCCTTCCAAAACCCCTTTTACATAGCAACATTGTGGGTATGCAATTCAATTTTTCATTCTAATAAATTTTAGTTAGTACTAGCTGGTAATTTCTGTTCGCCTAGTATTTTCGCGAATTTCCGTTCAAATCTCACGCCCCCTGTCAACAGTGATATGTTAAATGATCGGCACTTAACCGTGGTCTCTTAATTAACATCCATTTAACAGTACCTGTTAAATAAATACCAGTTAACAGCTGAGGCTGCTAATTCACAGCGGTCTGTTAATAAACGTGTCAACATTATTGTACCTTGTCGGTACGCAATGCATTTTTTTAAAAATAATTTTATCTGTGCATCATCTGCTGGGCATTTCTGTTCGCCTGTTATTTCAGCGGAATTTTGATTTCGAAAATATGAGCCAAGAAAAGAATTTTTTTGGAATTTGGAACTATTAGTTACTAGGACAATATCTATAGTATGGTAAAACCAAGGATATATCGGTCATCTAGGAACCAAAGAGGGAGTTGTTTACTCTCTTGGTTTTCTTTTTTTTTTTATTACTTTTCATTGCACTTAGTCCAAAGCTGTGAAATACATCGATTTTCTGAGTTTTTAAAGTTAAGGTAAATCAATTATTGAGTGTGCTGAAAACAGATTGGAAATGAGAAAGAGAAATAACAAATATGTGTACATTTTCGCATGTTTTTATTTATAATTTTATAATATCTGCACATCTTTTGCCATTTATTATATTTTTATAGGAACTTTATAAATATGTATTTTTATTTTGTAAATTCTATGCAATTATTGCAGCAACTCTGATTAACATTATGAATATTGTGTACCTGTACCTACACTTACAAGAATGTACGTATGTAGATGCATATGCTTGTATGTGTGTGCGTCGAGGGAAATTAAATGTATGCATGTTAAAATACAGGTAATTTTTTGGGTGGTTTGGCTACTGAATTTACCATTATTTAATTGCCCATTCATGGATGCTCGTGCATGTATTTGTACATACATACATACATGCATATATACAAACATCTTTCCGTTAGACTTACATGCATTTCTGTGCTTGTACATATATATATATATAGTATATATTGAAATAATATAAATATTACCGCCGCATATTGTTATGTCTCTCAATGCAGACTGTCCTATCGTTATCATTGGACATTATGCATGTGTGTGTGTGGGGCAAGCAGATCCATAAGCACTTATCAGATATAGTGATATGTCATATGCTTACCAATTTACGGAATGTGTCAATAGATCTATAGGATTTAATCATCCAAGTATTAATATATGGGAGTCACTATGTGTGTGCGTTTGTGTGTGTGTTTGTTTTTTGTTTTTTCAGTATTATTACAAACGACTTATGTATTTAAGTATGGGCGTTAGCAAATAGTTATGCATCAGTAATATATATTTATATATCATATATAGTTATACATATACATATGTATACCTATTTATGTATATGCATCTACATTTGGTGTGTTTAACTTTACAACTAATTCAATTTGCTGCGAGGTTTCATGTCTTTTTTTATTTCAATTTTTGTTTAGTTATTTGTGTCAACATATTTTACGTGCACGACCTAAAGCATAATATATCTGTATATATATATACATATATATGTTATATATATATATATATATACTGCATGTATGTATGTGCTTTCTTAGAGGCTAAGAATTAGTTTTATTTAATACTATAGGAACTTTTAATTAAAGTTTGTTCTTATTCATTAATTGTAGGTGTTTCGCTTGCTTTTATTCCAGCATATATATGTTAGTTCTATACATCTTTCAGAGTTCATGCTTGAATTGTCTGTCCTTTAGTTTTCGAAAACAATAAAATGCTAAACAAGGAATGCCCAGGATAAAACATTGTGTAAGTAACAAAAATGGAATTTATGCTTAAATTAACTGACAAATTACATATTTGTTTATAACGATCAATCTAGTTTTTAAAATGTTGATTAATTGAATTGCAGTATTTCGAATATATCCAATAGTAAAATAGTAAAATATATTGATCCCGACATATTCACATAAATAAATAAACATACTAAATATTCAGATAAAACTGTTCTTATACGATATTACAAATTGATTATTTTTTGACAAACAAAAATTTTGATTATTGACAAACAATTGTGGTAAGAAAAAAAAATATTGCCAGTCTTTTAATTTTTATATGGATGATTTTCAGAGACTGTTTTTTTCTGTTTATATTTATGTTGCGTGTGAATATGAATATGTATCTACATTGAGAGAAGTTCTTGCTGGTTTACGCATAACGGTATTATATTCAGCAGGTGAGCTTTGACACCGGACGCTCGCCTCGCTATAATGGAAGCCTTTTATAACAAAAATGATCAACTTAAAAAACTATAAATTTACATAATTGTGAAATAGTTTTGTCCCCCCCTGCCTTCACCTGATCTCGGGTGGGGGTGTGAGAATCTGATCTTTGAGATCTACATAATTTACTACTCAGCAGAGTTATCTGAAATCTTTTAATCGATTTGAAATAAACGCAGAAATGTCTGACATCCTTTAACTAATTTTAAATAAAAAAAAAAAAGATTGTGAGAAATGAAATATAGCCCCCTTTTTTAGATAAAATAGGACTAGTGAAAATTTTGTGTAATTGAAAAAATCAGAAAAAGTTATTTAATGACTTTGTGTCCTGTCGATATGGTGATTATATTATTAGGTATGCATATGCAGTCGATCAAATCAAAAAGTCATAAGCTAATCCGAAATTTAATGGAATTTATTTTTGGAAATTTATGTTGTCTGATCTCCTACATATCATAGAACTCCTTAGTAAAAAGGAATTACATATTGTACCAATTGCTATTTATTTTATATTTATTATTAACAGGACTCTGTTATCCACTTTCTCTTCTTCTACTTCCCTTACTCAGCAGTTTTTACCTTGTGGTTAGTTTGGGTTGTTATTATCGATACATTTTTTTTTTTGCCTCAGGGATAAGAATATAATGAAATTGAGGAATAGACACGGATTTATCGACGGAGCTGTAGAAACTGTTTAAGAATATAGATGTGAACGAAGATGTCTCCTTCAATGTGTTACATTATCATGTATCAGATACATCAGATACATGATAATAGCCTATACAATTGTATTAATTACAAAATAAAAAACAACAAGGGTTAAGATTCCTTGGTAATTGGCAAGATCATAGTGGGTAGTACAAACCATGCGTAAGCAAAAGTATATTTTCTCTTATTCTCATGAACGTGCGTAAAATATCTTGATACATATTAGAAGCATTTATCAGCTATACCCAGTAGAAGAAATTGCCTGCTTTTGCCCGAGTTTTAATTAAGACCTTTCAAATGAGTTTGAAGCGGATTGGATAAAATATTAAAAGTTTCTAGCACTTTGTGAGCTTTGCAAAATCGCCGAAACACGATCTCCAAGTTAAAAATTATTTTAAAGCTGATCCAGAATGGATTCAAGTTGAATTCGAATGACTTTCGACCTCTAAGGTCAGACTGGTCTAAAAAATAAGCGAGTTTAAAGTCGATCGGAGGATACACTAAAAATTGCATTGAACTGCTTTCCATTACTCCTAATGCTTTTATCAATCAGTCAGTCAGGACAAACAATTTTAATTATAGATATACAAATGTATTTGTCTCAGAGTCAAGACCAAGTACATGAATATATATGTATACATACATATATGCTGACCATTTCTTTGTGTACGTACATATGTAAGCATGCATGGCAAAGTAAAACATTGGCACATTTTATAAAATATGTTTTACATATACATCAGTTATCTGATACGTTGTGATGCACATACACTTTCCAAGGTGATGTAACGCATATGTGAAATAAATGTTGGACAGGGTTATTATTGAGCTTTGTTATGTGTGGCTGGATCAAAGGCCAACCTATGTTGGAAGGTGTATGTAATTCTCGGCACGCCGAAACTTTATATACTATAAACTTAAATCTGAGTTTACTGTATTTTTGTTGTATTGTTTTTTAAAATAGTATTTTAGTAATATTTAAATAGAAAATAAAGGCATAAAGCAATACAATGCTAGGAACTCAGTTTGCATCTCTCTAATTCGAAGGTTCTCATCTACACAAGACCTGGAGACTATTCTCATATGTTTGTATGTATATATGGGTATGTATGTATAAGCTAGTAGTATTCATGTTTTTTTTGCGAAAAGGACAATTAAGTATTTAGTATTTAGTACTACACCTTACTCAAAAACAGATAAGGTAGAGGGAGAACTGCCTTAGCTACTCGGACATCTGATTATTTCGTATCGCATGAATTCTATCATTTTGATCATTCATTTGTTTTTTCTTTTCTTTTTTTGATATAATTTTGTTAACATTATTGCTACATATATTTTGAATAGTTAGGAACACTTCCGTATAGTTTGTAATTCTTATTAAATTATTAATCTGGTTTCTGTTTCTGTTAATTTACTTATACATAGTTATGTATATATTTAGCCACATGAAATGTCATGCAATAAATTTCTTTAAAATAGGAACTTTCAAGTTTTCATAGTATGTAAATATATCTTATTATGTTATGCAAGTATACGCATATGTTCTAAAAGTTTCTTGTTATTGTTTTACTTAGTTATATGTTTGCATGCCCTCCTCCGCCTCCTCCTCCTCCCTGTGGCCCATCCGTCCATGCCATGGTTACGTCAAGTTATAATAGGGACGTCTATTAAATATACGATGAAATGATGAATCTGTAATGATAGAGAGTAAGGCATCATGTAATACATATATGTGCGACGTTATCTAACTTACCCGTCGGCCCGAAAGTCGCCCAGTTAAAGGACTCCAAATTATTTGCCACCTATAACTGTTAAAAAATTTGTTTACTACTTCATTGCCAAGAATGCATAAATAGGATGAGGGAAAAGATATCCATTTATAAAAGAGAATCACGAGAGCACGATAGCAGATACCCTGTACCCAACTTCGATTTATCCCTAAACACATTTGTACATAAACAATATCCAATATATCCAGGAGAGAAATGAATAAAGCAAACATTTGCTCAGGCCATAATATTGGCTTAAAATCTTCATACATCAATGAGAGTATATACGCACGGACAGATATATATATATATATATATGCCCCAATTTTTTTCGGCGATATCTTCTTATATCATGTATAATAATTGCCTTCCACCTATAATTTTAACCCATTTTAAGTAGGTACAGGGTATACAAATATACGTCTTAAGTTGGGACTACAAAAGCAAAAGAAAAAAGCAAAAAAAAAATAAAGAATAAATGAGTAAAATTTTAGTCAAATGTTTTATTTTTTTGTACAGACTTTTAACAATAAAATAATCTGATTTGTAATAAAATGTATATGTGTATTACATAAACACACTCAAGCAAAACATTGTTTTCTTTTGAGGTATGTGCTACTTAGGCTATCGATCAGCAAGATTTAATATGCATATATGTATGTATGATTGGAACGAAATGCTGCGATATATAAACGCATTCGAGTCATAAATTTCTCTGTTTGAATCGTACTAAGCTTTATACAAAAACCCCACCGAAAAGTCTCTTATATTCGAATAAATTCGAGCTCTAGCCGCAAGAAATATTGTACAGCAGGGTGCGAAAATAACATTTAGGGCTTGAAACTTTAACAAAGAACCCCTAGATCTTATATAAATATAAAAATATCAATGGTTCAAAATATATTAGGTATTGACTTTTATTCTTGACTCTTCAAATAAAAGATGTAAATTTTTTATAATACTTTCATTTAAAAAATTCGGAACTGTTCTGTTAGGTATTTCAATAATTAAGTTATGAGAAAATTGTTAAATGAAATTTAATTACTAAGAATTCAACTCTGATCAGAATAAAAGAATGATTATAACAGTTATGGTTCCTGTTTTAAAGAAACAATTTTTTATATCCCAAACGGAGATTCTAAAATGTTGTCTAGGAATACGTTTCTTCGTATCGATTCCAAATTACTAAAAACCAATTACCATTTGGAATGGAACTTCGTATGACATGCAAGAAGCTAACATATATAACAAGTAAGAGGTTCTAGTCGGTAGCTCCCGACTAGGGGATACCCTGAACCCTCTTCCTTTGCTTGGAAACGGAGTAAGTTATCGATTATTATCAAACTCCATCTCCGCAGGCACTAGGAGCACCTACATATAAAATTTCAAGTTTGTAGCTCTTAAAGGTTCTGAGATCCTTGCGTTCATACATATGGATGGACGGACGGACGGAAGGACAGACAGACGGACATGGTTAGATCGACACGGCTATTGGTGCTGATCAAGAATATATATACTTTATTGGGTCGGAGATGCTTCCTTCTGCCTGTTACATACATTTGGATTTTGCACAAATACAATATACCCTTAAACCCATTTTTAATGGGTTCAGGGTATACAAATTTAAACTCTGGGATACCAAATTTAACATGACATACCATATACAAATTATTATATGTTTACATTGAAAGGGATTCTAGAACTATTTACAGGTTCAATATTATGTAGCATTTATTAATGGGACAGATTTTAAAAATGCTCAGAACTCTGGATTTAAAGTACAAGCACTTGGTAGAGGAATTTTCAAAACACATCTCTTACATTCAGAGAACGGCTCAATGTTGATAACGAGATCCATAGGTCAATCATTTAGTCAATATGATTAATTAAAGCTTCAAATTGAACCTCGATGTGTTTTATAAGAGCATGAAGACTGAAGTATGGGATTCCATTCGTAAGAGCGTAAAACTGCTGCATGAGATGTTTTTTTGTTGAGTCAATAAACCAAAAATCAGATAATTAAATATCAAATGGGTAGGTTTTATGTACAAAGCCAAGTACATCAACTATGAAGATACGTACGCTCCAAAAACAGATTGTGAATATGCATATTTACACCCATTACCAGAGCATATGAAATGAATATTCATTGATTTCAATTTGAATAGCTAAGGAGTTCGTATAGCGCAAGAGTTCATTGCATATATGCATACATAACATACATGTACGTATTGATTTGATTAACTAATTGATTAATTAATTAATTAATTATGAATGTTATACGTAACCTAGAACACTTTAAGTGTTGAGTGTTAATTGGAAGATTCGAGTCTCCTGCTCATCGGAGATATCCTAATCTTATTTACTTTTCAGTTGTGTGGCAATCCATCCTACTAAATATATATATATCAGTTATGAATAACTGTTGCGAGGCATATGTTAATTATTACTAATCAATATTTATAGTACTTAATTATTGTTTAAAATCAAATTTCGTTTAGTCTTTGACATTAGGTTTTGCGAATGCTCGAGTGCTATATAGTACATCATCGTACATCAGTACATCATCGTTGGGCACACACATGTCTTGTTTTACATAGACAGACATGTACATATGTAGAATGTTCAATGGATACTACTACTAATACATACGTATCTTAGTGGACAGTCCTTAATATTTAGTTAATGAGCTGCATGTGATGCAAGTATGTTGATATAAACATACTGAAAACGAGTGTGAATATCAATTATGTGTTACATCAAATCAGAAATCACGAAATCATATAACTAAAACATATTTTCAAATATAATCAAATAAAAATAGAAATCAAATAATATGCTAATCATACCGCCGGGATGGTCCACGTTTACATTCATCATATCAAAATACTAGACGAAGTTCGCAATTCTTACCGGTGATGTGATTGCGATTGAATAGCTGTTGCATTAGCTCCCGACTGCCGCCGGATGCGCTCTTTCTGCCCGGATCCGGCAGATCGTCGCTATCCTTGACAGAGACGGCAATATCACCGGCAAGGTGGCGACGACCACCAGTACCAGCGACATGCTCGTTTGCGGAGTCATTAGTCGCCGCCGTCCCAGTCGCAGACGTCGTTGTCAGCAGGCGAGGCTCGGTGCCGGGCTCAGTGCCAGGCATGCTGCCGCCCGCATTGGACACCATATGCTGCAGGAGGAACGCCTTGGAGAGGCTATAGAATCGCCGCTCCCGATCGCAATCGTTGTCATCGCTGCCGCTGGCATTGCTGTGGGCATATAGTTCGCTGGTCTGCTCCAGGAGCTCTTTCATTTTGCAGATGTGCTCCACACTGAATGCGTGCGTCTGCATATTCACCTGCGGCACCTGGCACAATTGGCAGTCCTGCAGCTGCAGATCGGTCTCCGTGCCGGAGGTGGCAGCTGCCATTGCCACTGCCGTCTCTTGAGTCTTGCTGTTGTTGCTGTTGCTGTTGCCAGCCTCCTTGCCGCTGGATCCGTCGAAGCTGTTGTTGTCGTCCGAAATGTGTGCGTATTGGCGCTGATTCCTTGACTTTTTATCTTTGGCCCGTGAATTTTGAAACCAAACCTGTGAAAGCCCAATGCGAAAGCATCTAATTATTTTCGGGCGTATAGTACGAAATTTAATTGTGTATACATTCCAAATTGAGGAAACGATTCCTAAATTTTAGAAAATCGGCATACTTTCTATACATTTTCTGAGTTCTAAATAATATCTTATATTTTCATTGTGAGCTTAAGAATACATGTTTGAAAATTTTAAAAAGATATTTGTCTTTCTGTCAGACGTTTTCCCTTCAAGTCTCAGTTAAATTGTTTTCTATATTTCAGAGAGAGCTGCATTGTAGAAAGAAGGAAGATTCTGGAAAATCAAACAGCACTCAAGAATGTAGAAAAAGCTCAGATTTCAAGGAAATATTTTTGGAAGAAAAAACATCAAAAAGAAAAGCACTAAATAAAAGATTACAAATGCTCGATGATCAGACATTTGTATACCCTAAACCTATTCAAAACGGGTAAAAAGGGTATGATAATTTTTGTAAATATATTTACAGGCAGTATGAAACCTCTTCGACCCCATAAAGTATATATATTCTTGATCAGCATTAACAGTCCAGTCGATCTAGACATGGCCGTCTGTCTGTCCGTCCGTCCGTCCGTAAGTATGATCGCAAGCATCTCAGAACCTAAACGAGCTAAAGACTATAAATTTTAAACATAGGTCTTTCTAGTGCCCGCGTAGTTCGAATTTGTTTCCGATAGTCGATAGCTTTCCCAGTTTACAAAAAATCGATACAGATCGATCATGAAATCCGGTTTTTTCACAAATCGGAGCTCGATTCACAAATTTCACATGTAGCTTCTAGAATAGTATACATAGATCAAGTTTCTTTTATTTAACCATGGATATAAATCAAATAAATAAATAAATTGCATCTATTGGAACTGTAACACAATAAGATCTACTGCCGAAAATTTCAGCAAGATCAAACCAATTTTCAATGGGTATAAAGCGATTAATGTAATGGATCAGACGTTAATCAATGAGCTTAGAAGTAGTCAATAACTTAACTAAATAGTTTTTATTTCCTACACATTTAGAGATAGTAAATTGCCTACGCTTCTCGGTATTGATTTACCGGGGATAAGGTGTTTCCTTTACTATGTAATAATAAATTTGGCTATCTTTTCATTCAAATATTACCTGCATACGATTCATTTGATTGCTTTAGCGAATAGCCATCGTCAGCTGTCTAGGGACACGATATTGATGAAATGCTACCTTTCCCATATAGAGTCCGATATTTGTTGTGGTCTTGTCGACATCTATATCTGGTTGACTGTTGCGCGTTACTAACTGTCTTTCACTGAATTTAACAAAAAGTAAATAATAATAACAATAAAATAAATTAAAGGAAAATATGTATAACTCATAAAAACATAAACTTAATTTAAAATAATACATTTCTTCGGTTTGCCGAAGTTCGGTTAAGATGTATAATGTAAGATAAGATGTGGGTTAACCCAACACTAATTACTCGTGCAGATATATAGGACAGACTAGGAGGAATAACTTGGCTCAAATATAGAAAAAGTAAAAAGTTTCCCTACTGTTGCCCAATCAAATAACCCACTGCTCATATTAATTTTCTTCCACATGGACATTGTAGCGCCTTAATTGGATAAAATAGGAAACCTCTATTCACCAAAAAAGTTCGGTAACATATAACATATGTAGAAAACATATTTTGTTTTCATGGGCATTCGATTCGCACCTTGGGAGAAACCTAATGGATATGGTATATTTTGAAAAGCAAAACTTCGACTTACTTGTACGACTCGCTTTTTGAGATTTACTTTCTTGGATATCTCCTCGAGCATTTTGCGGCTGGGATTGGACTCGGTTTGGTAGCATTCATACAAGAAGTTCAGTTGATCTGGAAGTATCGTGGTTCGCAGTCGCTTGTTTTGCTTGGAAGGAGCGCTCAACTGCACCGAAGAGTCCAGGGGCAGGCAATCGTTCGCTTTGACAGCGGCGGCAGATAGGGCGACATTCTCAACCTTTGGGGTTAGGTTATCGTCGTCATTAAATGTCAACATTTGCGAGTTATTTTCAATCATGGTCGCGTCAAGAAAGTCTTCCAGATTTTGATAATACTGTGGTTTCTCGATATCGCCGGCTTTTCGTATGATTTCGCTGCCACGGAAAGGTGAATTTTGCCTGTCCCCATTAAGTGCATCCATGGATCCGGTCGAACTGGGTACTTCCAGGTTTTCCATCTGCTCAATTTTGTTTTCCTTTGTGTCCCGCAGCAAATCAAAGGATAGCTGCCCTTCGTTTGGACCAACATTCATATTGATGTGATTGTTATTCAGTTTTTGATGTACATCATCCGTCAGGTTGTTCGGTTCGGTCGCTGTACAAAGTCCATTTTTGGAGCTCTCCGCTTTGATGTTTTCCTGGCTGGTATAGTATTCCAATTCGTGTTCTAGTTTAACCATTTGATCTTGTGTACGTTCTTGCCTGCCGATTAATTTGATTGCTTCATCCGCCGTCGCGTTCGGCTGATGCGACGACGGCTGCGATTCTGTGCCATCAGGTGTTGTTTGGGGCGAGGCAGCTAACTGAAAAAACTTTTTCGACTCGTTTAGCTGATAATATTGCAGCAGAAACTCAATGGTTGGCTTTTTGCTAGAGCTAAATGATGACTGGTGCTTCAAGGAATCTTCATTTTTGCGATAGTATTGCAGTAAAAAATCGTAGCTGCTGACCTTTTTCAGCTCGCTCTGCTGATAGAAATTGCTCAGGAACTCCAGCTCCAGGTCCGACTCGTTTCCCTGCTGTTGTATTAGGAATTGCTGCTTCAGTTCTGGATTGGTTTCATGCTGCATGAAGTATTGGTATAGGAACTCGTATTTCTTTTGTGTAGTCTCAAATTCTCCTATAGATGCCTCCTCCGCGTTGGATGAGCTTTCGGAGCATTTCCTTTTCTTTGCCGGAGGCGCTTGTTGATTTTGCTGCTGCTGCTGATGCTGCTGTTGTTGTTGGGCCGCCTGCTGCAAACCTTGCAATATGGTGCCAAAGGGACCGTAAGCAGTTTCCGACTGATTGGACTGATGGTGGCCAGCAGGAAAGAGTGCTGGGCTCATTAGGTGCATCAATTGATGCTCCCGCAATAGTTCCAATTGATTGAACTGCATTTCGCATTTGTCGCACTCAAATTTCGGCAGTCTCTGCTGGTCAAGACTATTGCTGCGCTCCCGCTGCGGCGGTGTTGGCGTCGTCGATGGACTGAAATCGGTTAGGGATGAGGCCTTGCTAAACAGGTGCTGCGGCGAGGGCGATGAGCCGAACGGCTGCGATCCAGAATGGGCTGCTGCCGCAGCAGCGGCCACGGCAACGGCAGCGGCCACGTTTTGTGTGGCCAAGCCCAGTCCGGCTGGCCCGCCAGCGGCATGATGGATGTCCATGGAGGAATTTGAATCCTCTGAGCTAAGATTGTGGGCTATTTGGGCGGCGGCGATTTGAGCTTTAGCCGACTTCTTGTTGTTCTCCTCCTTGAAGCAGTGGTTCTTCTGATGGCGTATCAGCTCATAGTAGCGCTGAAAGACAAGGTTGCACTTCTTGCAGGCGTAGTTGATGTTCTGCTTCTTGGTCTCCTCGCTTTCGTACAGCGAATTGTTAGGTTGGTTCTCGTAGATTTTGCGCTGCTTTTGCCGTGCATTCTGAAACCAGACAACAATCACGCGTGGCGACAGCAGCAGCAGCTTGCTTAAATACTCGAGGTCGCTATCCTTTGGATACGAATTGTTTTCAAAGAACTCTTGCAGCACTTTAATCTGGTAGTCGGTGAAACGTGTCCGATTCGCGCGCTTTCCTCCGGAAGTTGACGAAGATGAGTTCGACGAGTTCGAAGAGTTGCTCTCCAATTGGGCGCACGCCAATGATGATGCTGAAGGCAATGCAGAGCCGGTACTTGATAGCTTCTCGAATGATTTACCCGCTATTTGTAGTTTCTTAGGTGGACCCATGTTGCTACCAATGTTCTCCAGTTGCTGGCTCAGTAAATCGTTCATACTGTTATACAGATTGTTGGCTGCCACACTATTTGGGGTTGGCGGCCGCGAAAGAACATCGGAACTACCGCTTTCCGACTTGGTCTCAAAGCAATTGGTTTGCTGTTGGTGATGCTGCTGTTGGTGCTGGGGCTGGCTCTGATAGTTCTGCATCGAGGAGCCGGTTGCCTGCATCGAGGCGGGGTCATGAATCAAGTCCTCGTTCGGGTTGGGATTCACCGGATCTGCCGTCTCGGCCTGCTGTTGTTTAAGAAACTCAAATACTTGCTCCTGTTGCTGTTGTAGCTGGCGTTGGTTTTTGTGAAACGTAAAGTCACCAGCTGAAACATCATCCTGGGGTTCGGCCTTTATCTGAACCTCCAATGGCAAGCTCATCACGCCCAAATTCTCCGGCTCCGGCTTGGCATTCATGAGGTCAGCCTGCGTCTTGAAATAATCCGATATGTTAGCACTTAAATTTGTCGCGGTGGCCGCTTCTGATGACACCGCAATCGAAGCTGCCTGATTGATGGCCGCCGACGTTGTTGCTGCTGCTGCTGCTGTTGTTGTTGGCGGTAATGTAGGTGGTAAAGGGACCGGGTTACTGACACCTGCATCCGGCAGGGGGGTCACCTTAGTTTGGCCAGTGCGTTCGTACTCCTCCAGATTGAGGGTAGTCGACGGCGGATTATTAAAGTTGTATGGCGAGTCTTTGTTCCGCTGCCGTTCTTTAAACAACGTGTTTCGGAACCAGTGCTTAACAACCTGTTTGAATATAAAATAAATGATTTCGTTATGTCATCATCATCATTTATTGATTGTCTCTGCTCTTTTTTAAACTATTTCGATGTGGTACCTTCATTGGAAGATTTGCCTTCTGTGACATTTCCATGATGCTCTCCTCGCTGGGTGAGTTATTAATGTCGAAATGGGCCCGCAATATCTTTAACTGATCGTCTGTAATGCGGGTGCGTGCGCGTTTCTGATTGCTGCTTAATTGTTGCTAAAAACAAAAGAAATAGTGGGTTAGAAATCTATGATTCGAAGGGAATTTTATTCTCGATTTACCTGGTTATTGTTGGTTACACTCGACATATTGATGCTGGCGGCATCATTTGCTAAGGGTCCTGCACTGCCGGAGCATTTCTGTTGGCGGTCAGACAGACAGGCCGAGGTGCCAGCCGAGGAGGCAGCGGCAATGCCATTGTTTTGGATCCCTCCGGTTGCTGCTCCTGCAGCTGCTGCGGTTGTTCCGCTGGAAGTGTTGGCTCCAAAGATTAATGGAGGTGCTAGATTCATAAAATTGAGCGACATCAAATGATGAAACTGCATCAGATTGAGCATGTCCACCGGATTGATCGGCATTCCAGATGCAGCCGCAGCGGTGCTCAGCTGTTGTTGAATTTGCTGCAAGTTCTGTATACTCTGAAGTCCGTGAAATGAATGCTGATTCCCGATGCTGCCGAATGGACCGTGCTGAAGGGGTTTCACCTGAAGCTGATGCATCCCGCCGGGAGACATGGCCATTTGATTATCTGCATCCTGCTGCTGCTGCTGCTGCTGTTTAAGCAATGCTGCGGTCAACGCGGCAAAGTGCTGCTGCTGTTCAGTTGATGGGTCATCGAGCGCATTTGGCGACAGCTGATCGGAAAGCTGATCCTTCGATTGTGTATCCGATTGAAAAGGCGATCGAGAGCGCTGGGGGGACTGCTTGACAGACTTGTTCGTTTTGGAAACTGAAAACGATAAGTTTACCATTTAAATACCCTTTGATTGTTTTTTTTTTCAATAGTAAATAGCGATGTATTGGTCCGATCTGGAGGACTTCATCATATAAATCGTCGGCCAAACGAACTTGAATAACTTAACTTGCAATTCAAATAAATGCTACTTCGCGTACTCCGGACATTTGGAATAGTATTGGCCTAAGGAAAAGCTTGCGACTATCTATTGCAAATGGGCAAATGGGATACACAACAGCACACAACTAGCTCAGCTTATCTTATCTCAGCTTTACTTTCTCCTCAAAAAATTAGAGTACATAACTTCAAGTATTCTTATAAGTCTTTCAAAGACAGAAATGTTTTTATTGCCTAAAAAATGACTAGAAATTTCCATCATAGAATTCTTTTGAACGCATACAATACAATTTACGAATATATACTAAGACTATCTACTTGCCAAAAAGTTTAGAATAGAAGTGATAAAGATGTATAATTACTTGTTAGTAGGATGGAAGGGATGGAGAACTTTAATTTTTTACTGGAGTGTGACGGATCCCAAATCAAGTCACGAAGGGCAAACTAACGAGAATTGTTTTTGCACAGATTAAATTCTGTCTTAATGAATATTGTGGTGACCAGATACATAAGGCATACTCTAGTATAGTTCGTATTAAGGGTCTTTGTCGTGTATGGATCGTCGAGCTCCTTTGAGAAAAACTTACCCAATTCACTAGAACGCGCTGTGGTAAAGTCAAAAACATTTGGCTCAGTTGATGGCTTTTCCATTTCGCTAGAACTGAAGCTGGGCGACAGGTCCCGCGGACTGCTGCCCATAACAGCCGTACATTCGGCCGAATGCGACTGTTCCATATGCTTCTGAAGTGCCTGAGTGCTGCGAAAGTTTCGCTGGCAAAGGGAACATTTGGTTGCGTCCCGCATACTGTGGTACAGCATGTGTGCGGTCAGTTTTTCCTGTGTCTTGAACGCCAGCGAGCACTGTTTGCAGCGGTACTTATAGACGTGTCGCTCGGAGATCACAAGGCTCATGTGCGAGTCCTTGAAGTGAGCAATCATCGGCGGCAAGCTGGCAAAGGACATAAAGCAGGGACGACTAACATGACTGACGGCCAGGCAAAGGTATTCGCCGTTTTGCACCGGAAAGTGTTGCGTTTGTTGGGCATGTTGCAGCAGCTGCTCCTCGTGCTTAAAGTTTGCGTCGCACTGTTGGCAAGAGATGCCCTGCATACCGCCGGTAGTACAGCTCGTTGTTGTTGTTGATGTGCTGGGTGTGGATGTAGATGCATAATCTTCGGCATTGACAATATTACACTTGTTCTCCTGTAGCACCCTTTCCGAGGATCCAGTCGAGCCCGAACCCGAACCCGAACCAGAGCCCGAAACGGTACTTGTTGCCGCATCCGGAGTTTTTAAGGGTCGCCAGGCTTTGTGGTTGACCAGCTGCAGAAGCCTGGCGAGGCCATCTCGCGTGACACTGTGCACGCTCATAAGATGTGCTTCCAGGGAAGATTTCTCACTATATCCGGTTTCCAGACATAAGGGGCACGATACACCCGATTGGGGCATAGTTTCAGTTTTTGGCGACAGCCTGCTCTTGCTATGATTGCTCTCAAGCTCAAAGTCGGCGTTATTGTTATCCTTAACATCGGCACTGTTCGTCATTGGGTCATCGATTTCCTCTAGCCGTTCACGCTTAATATCAATGGGACAATCGCTGTCGCCACCACGTGCCTCCGACTCCGCCACCGCTCCAGCAGCTGTCGATGTGGGCGTTCCACTAGCATTGCAGCGATGGACAGCAGCCAGGGCAGCGGCTGCGACGGCTGTCTGAAAAGCTTGCAGAGCCGCCGTGTTTGTGGGTATACTGATATAGTCATCGCTCTCCGCAGTTGGGTGCAGGCTTTCGATGTGGCTTTCCATGTCCTTTTTGGATTGCACAAAATATTCGCACAGGTTGCATTTAAAAACGGTGGTTGAAGCGCTCGGGTGTAGGTCACCAGCCATTGGTAATGGAGATTGCACTCGTGGCTGTGCCTTGCCGCAGGATGTCGAGCAGCTGGAGACGGAGGCGGGCGAAAATATATTGCCATCGGTTGATGATGCACTAGCCACACCGAATCCGATTTCAGTGCCAGCTCCAACGGCAGCTGTCGTTGCCAGGTTTAGTCCACAGTCAAGGCCAGGATCTGAAATTGACATTGTGAAACATGGGTGTGAAACTATAATAATTTCAATATTGAAAACATAGAGCCGTCGAGGCTTAACTGAATGTTAAATATGATATATGGAAGAATAAATAATATAAAATACAATTTTCAAATTTGTTTTCTCCAGCTGTTTTGGTATCCATAATCAACATGTTTACACATATGAAAAAGCGGACTACGAATATTTAATATTTGACTCAGGGAATAAAACCCTCAAAACCTAGCACCTTGCTCAATTTACACTCATTTTACTTATATGCGCGTTTGTGTAAAAAAATGCTAAAATGCCTCTAATGAGGGCCCTACCGGAAAAAACTAGGAAGCTTTAATGTTCACTGTAGTCAACTTATGTCATGTAGGTGCACGTTGAGACGGGGTCTCGGAAAATATATGCAAATGCCCGCATGCGCACATACATACATACATACGTATACATACATACATATAGATACATATGTACGTACATACATACGTGCATACATACATACGTAAATACATATATACATACATATGTCCATAAATACATACATACATAAACACATACATATGTACGCACATACATACGACCATATATATGCACATCCGCACATACATATATACAAACAAGTAAGAGGTTCTAGTCGGGAGCTCCCGACTAGGGGATACCCGGAACCCTCTTCTTCCAACATCAAATGCATATTCATATATGTTCTATTTTGGAAGCTATATGTCAAGTTGGTGACTCTAGCTCTTATTATTTACCAAAATTGCCCAAAAAACAGGATATCGATATCGATTTTTATCGATTGCTTGGAAACGGAGTAAGTTATATCTAGCTCTTATAGGTTATGAGATCCTTGCGTTCATACATACGGACGGACGGACGGAGAGACAGACGGACATGGCTAGATCGACTCGGCTATTTATGCTGATCAAGAATATACATATATACTTTATGGGGTCGGAGATGCTTCCTTCTGCCTCTTACATACATTTTGCTTTCGCACAAATACAATATACCCTTATACCCATTTTTAATGGGTTCAGGGTATAAAAACCCAAAAAAAAAAACACCACCGCTTAGCATGAAAAACTGCAGAGCCTGCTCGAATTCTTGAGAACCGAGGAGTAGGACACATGGCTGAAATTTATTATATTTAAATTTGCAGCACAGCGAGAAATGAGCTTGATCTGCGTTTGGTATTAGAAACCAACATTCAAGCACTAATATATAAATAAATGCATAAATACATGCATGCATTCACTACCACTCTCTCACACACACACATGCACATACATATATAATACTAAGTAAGCCGTCGTATAAAGTACTTGTATATTTATATTGGTGCTAACTGCTTGATTGATTGACTGAGTGCTTGCCCAGCCGACTGACTAACCGACTGATTTACTGGTTGATGATCAACGCACAGGGCGAACCTTGAGAACTAAAAGCTCAATTTTTAACTAAACTGGATTTCAGATTTCAGCAGCAATATGTGGAAAGTGGGGGAAAACGATTAAATCATGTTAAAATTTGTTGTGTTAGTTTTTCACAAATTAAAACAAATGCCACGCAAGATCGCGGAAATCTGGTTTCAAGCAAAAACAATATAATTTGTATTCAAATAATATTCTTTGGCTCAAGCCAGTATTGAATTTAATCTATTGATTAATTTGTTTTTTTTTTTTTTTTACTGCAGTTGAATTTAAATATAAATATATATAATAATATAAATTAATTAAGCCAATATTTTGTGGATAGGTGTGAAGTACCTGAAAACTTTGGCACTTTAAGTTAAGCTGACTAACAAGTGATAGTCAATGACCTGTGTGTGTGTATATATTTTGTAGCACACAGACACAGAACCACACACACTTGTGCTTTTTACGTACAGATTAATAATCCTGTAAGAGCCCTTTGGCTAATCAATGCCTTTGATAATAGGAACGACCACAACAAAAGCGAGACGCAGAACAAGTCATGAGCAGCAGAAAGCGAGAAGAAGACACAGTCCCTGGCCCCGGTTTGGCCTCGGTCTGCCTCGGTCGCAATCCCGGTCTCAGCATCGGGTTTAGTGCTGCGTTGGTGTTGGCCTCAGCTGCATAGAGTTAATTGCAAGCAAGGGTGCAGAGCGTTGATACGACCAAATGCGAATATATTTCAAATTCCATTACCAATTTCAAAGCAATTTCCATACAGCTTGATTGCATCAAATTAAAAAGCCGACAAAAAATGAAAATCAAGACCATTGGCGTTCTGTGGCTCTTCAAGCGAGTAAAGTAAAATGAACTTGGCCAAAAGAGACCGAGAGACAGAGAGAGAGAGAGACAGAAATGAAACTAACCAAACTGATGTGTGCCTGGGTATTTCTTGTGCTCCAGCCTTTGTTGTTGTTGTTACTGCTATAATCATGCGCAGCTGTTACCACTGAAGCGGTCACGAGACAACAGCCACCAGCACCACCATCTTCATCATCGAGCCTGCCACCGACGCCAACACCAAAGCAAAATAAGAAAGAATGCCCCAGTCGAGGGCTTTCAACCTGGATATACCCCGCTCTCCGATAATCAATATATTTACAGATGCTCAAATGCTTTCATTTTAATCAAATTAGTTAAGAATAAATATATTATATAATAATTATAAATATTTTTATTTATCTTACTTAGAGTTTATTTATCAAAAAGACCCTGCTTTTCGATAATCAACATATTTACAGATGGTTTCATTCTGCTTTTTATAACCTGAACCCATTAAAAATGGGTATAAGGGTGTATTGTATTTGTGCAAAATCCAAATGTATGTAACAGGCAGAAGGAAGCTTCTCCGACCCCATAAAGTATATATATTCTTGATCAGCATCAATAGCCGAGTCGATCTAGCCATGTCCGTCCGTCCGTATGTATGAATGCAAGGATCTCAGAACCTAAAATAGCTACAGACTTGAAATTTTAGATGTAGATGTAGATGCTTCCCGCGCAGATCGAGTTTGTTTCCTATAATCGATATCTTACTCCGTTTCCAAGCAATTGATAAAAATCGATATCAATATCCTGTTTTTTTTTTTTGGCAATTTTGGTAAATAATAAGAGCTAGAGTCACTAAAATTGACATATAGCTTCTAAAATAGAATATATATATGCATTTGATGTTGGAAGAAGAGGGTTCAGGGTATCCCCTAGTCGGGAGCTCCCGACTAGAACCTCTTACTTGTTTTTAAATAAAATTGGATCCGAAATTTTTTCAATTTGTCATATTCAATTTTTTTTATCGAAATTATAATTTACTTATAAATGTAAAGAATTTTTTAATTTATCCAAATGTTATTTTAAAAAATATAGTTCGGTTCAGCTAAAGGTTCGACTTTTCTTTAGTTCAGGGTTAGTGAGAAATTTGAATACCGGGTTAAAACCGCTTTGGTTAAAAGCCGGAAATCCTTGAAGCAAATTCTCCGACAGAGTATATTTCCTTTACTGATAGATCTGCTAGCATACATTTTGAACAAATAGGCTCTAGGCTTTATTATACCCTACATTTTGCTTTTTTGAAAGCGACATGCGTTTGCAAAATATAATAAAAAGTGATCTTACACCAACAACAACGAGAAGAGCTCACTGCAAATAAAGCAAAGGTACGGGTTAGAGAACAGAATGGAAGAAGCTCAGGTTCACTTATGTCTTAAGATGTGTATCATTATGCAGATCTTTGTTGCAATGTCAATCGAATTTGCAACAAACATCCAATGAACATCCAAGGGAATTGTTGATAAACAATAGAAAAAAAAATATGAAAATATAATGTTGTATTTGGCGACCTATCCATTTAATAATTGTTTGTTTGGCTGGCTCGAGGTCCGCAAGAGAGTCAAACATAAATGAAAAATATAATTTTCCCAATCACAAATGGGATTTTGCGATGTGGCAAACCAGGTTCACGAACCGAACCTCAAGGCTTTGGGGTTGGCAGCCCAAGTCTCCAGGCTGATCAACACAACGGTTCAATCGTCGAGTCAAGACAAAGCGCAAAGCAATTACAAGCTGAGGCACCAACTGCTGTTCGAATTAACTCGAATGCAACCACAAACGCGCGAGAGAAAATTGAGTAGAATATTGCATACCCTAAATGGAGAAGGGAGCCAACGGAAGGAAAGGCAAGGGGCAGGGACAGGGGCCTATTATCATTGGGCTAGATACCCTGTAGCTGCCGGTGGGTGTTTAGAGTGCAATTCCAAATTTGAGCGTATTTTGTCTGAGGAGCAGCGCCGCGTTTGCTGTGTCTCCGTCTCCGGTTAGGGTCTGGATACTCTGTGGTTAGGTGCCATGCCTGCGGTTCGGCTCCGCACGACGCCGCATCTGATATGGGAATATCACACTGTGGCTTTGTATGTTTGCCTTTCCGAAGCATCGGCAGAGGCAGCGGCGGCGGCGGCGAATGGACTTTAACTGCGACTGCGACTGGGACAGGGATAGGATGTGAGGTTGGGGTTGGGGCTGGGGCTGACGTGGAGCAAAGTGTGCACGTCACTAATTGCAAATTCGATGGATACATATAATCGTTTTTGCATTCTTAAGTAATTTGTAATAATTTCCTCAAGGGTCAGCTTCGGCGTATAAATCTCACAGCGTATATAAATCGCAGAAGGGCAACGCGAGGGTACGCGATGAAGAATTTACGTACGTATACGCGAACGATGCGAGCATGAGTTTAAGATTGGGATTGGAGAGCACAGGACAAGGACGATAATAATCGAAGAACGGGGCAAAAAATCAAACCAAAATCAGCGCTTAATGATGAGTTACGAACGCACCGCATTATACAGTATACAGACCGTTGTGGGAAGGCAAAATAATTGCAGATAGAAGCATTTTGTACCTTAAGGTGCTGGAGCGAAGGTCAATCTGATTATTGAGTATGCTTTTTTAATTACAGTTATAAATATCGTAAATGTAATGCAGACTTGTCTATGCATTTTTAAATACTTTTATACATCTGCATTTTTAATTACTTTTTTTTTTATAAAATATTAATAGATTTTGGTATTGTTATTTTATATATTTACTAAGGTACAAAATGCATAGATCTGCACTTGTTTTGTATAAATATAGTATGGGGCCAGACGCGTTTGGGCACGATAAACGCAAATAGTGAAGGATAGGTGTTTGGTCTGCATTTCTATCATATATGTTATTCAGACTTGAATATGCATATTTAATTACTTTTATAAATATCATAAATGTAATTCAGACTTGAATATGCAGACCAAACACATTTGGGTCCTTTTAAGATCGGAACACTATATCATATTGCTGCCATAGGAACGATCGGTCGAAAATTAAGTTGTTGTATGAAAAAACATTTTGTTTATCAAGATATCTTGACCAAACTCGGCATTTATTAGTTATACTATGCTCCTCATATAAATGCAAAATCCGATTAAGATCGGTGCACTTTATCATATAGCTGCCATAGGAACGAAATTGCAATCAATATATTTTGATTAAGCACGGCATTTAAAGATTTTACTATGCTCCCTTCCTTTTTTTTAAAATCTTATTTACATCGGACTACTATGTCATATATCCATTAAAAATGGGTATAAGGGTATATTGTATTTGTGCAAAATCCAAATGTATGTAACAGGCAGAAGGAAGCATCTCCGACCCCATAAAGTATATATATGTATTCTTGATTAGCATCAATAGCCGAGTAGATCTAGCCATGTCCGTCTGTCTGTCCGTCCGTCCGTATGTATGAACGCAAGGATCTCAGAACCTATAAGAGCTACAGACTTGAAATTTTATATGTAGGTGCTCCTAGTGCCTGCGGAGATCGAGTTTGATAATAATCGATAACTTACTCCGTTTCCAAGCAATCGACAAAAATCGATATCGATATCCTGTTTTTGGGCAATTTTGGTAAATAATAAGAGCTATAGTCACCAAACTTGACATTTAGCTTCTAAAATAGAATACATATATGCATTTGATGTTGCAAGAAGAGGGTTCAGGGTATCCGCTAGTCGGGAGCTCCCGATTAGAACCTCTTACTTGTTTGTTTATGAAAATATCTTGACCAAGCTCGGCATTAACTTTTTTCCAAATGCTTCTTAGATACGGAAAAAGCACTATGAGCATTATGTAAAGGTTGGGTCTGCAAGGGTATTAGATCTTTGGTATGCCGAAGATAGCCTTTCTTTTCAATAACCTTTTTTTATAAGTATATCAGGTTTTGTTGTGTGTTATATTTGTTTTATGCATGCCAAAGTCTAAGATGAAATTTCGTGTTATCAAGATTATTATAGCGACGTGGAGATATAGTTGAATATTAAAAACATTTTTTAGAAAGTATGAAATAGGTCCAATATATACTATTTGCCAATAAGCTAACATTTATTTGATTCTTAATAATAAATGAATCTCAAAAATCAGAAAATTTCATTTATCGGAAGAGGAGCGTGGTTTGATAAGGGAAGGGGCTTTCAGAAAGCTGTAACCACAATTGCAGAAATCAATGTCAAAAAAATAAGGTAATAACAGGTTCGGAAAATGGTGAAAAGTGAATTGACATACCTTCAGTGGTGGTGCCCGGTAGTTGGTCGATCACCTTGAATACCTCATTGAGTCCGAGCATCTCGATGTTTTCGCTGCGGCGTTGCAGGCAAATGAACTGTTCCACCTGCATGTGCCTGAGTCCCTTCACATGCTGCACCATGTCGTGCAGATTTTTGGCCACAAAGTTGCACAGATGACAGCAGAGCGCCTTCTTTGGCTGCTCCTGATCACCGTCATGCATCATGGGCGACTCCCGCTCCCGTTCCGAGTGGCTGAGAGAGCCGGAGCATTGGCTTTTACGCATACGGCTCTTCTGTATAATGATGAGCAAATGCTGAAAGATCATGCGCATTGTGTCGTGTCGCATCTGCTGCGTGTGCAGGGACAGTTTCTGTATGGAGTTCGTGTGAAAGTCGCAGCAGTTGCACTTCAGCTGGACCACATTGGTGGCCAGCTGTGGCTGATACTGCAGCTTGTATTCGTTCCGGGCGCCGCCCTCGCGGATGTGATTGATGAAATTGAGCTTCTGCAGGTGCTTGTCGGTCTTGCTGTGCAGCTGAAAGTTGGCCTTTAGATTCGTTTTGTAGTTGCACAGCCGGCATATATAGTTGTTGTTGTGTATGACCATGATGTCCGCCGAGGCGCTCGAGGATTGCCGCGACCGATCCAGCAGCAAATGCTGATTCAGCTCGTCCAGGTCGTTTGTGCTAAAGCAGTCGCAAATCAGGCAGCTGTACAGTGCTGTCGGCCATAATTCCGGCAGGCTATCTGGATACGATGCATCCAGCGTCGTCTCGCCCCCGCCGGATGTGCTCGACTCCATGGCCATGCCCATGGCCAGGTTTAAACCCTGCGGCATCTTCAATGGTTTCGGTGAGTAGGCAAACGTGGCATGCATCTGGTCCGGCGTGCTCACCGGGGAGCTCGACGTAGGCGACATTTTGCTATTCGAAGAGGAGTTGGTCTGATGCTGCTGGAGCTGTTGCTGTTGGGCATTTTGCTGCAGCAGCTGAATCATGAGCGCCTGGTTGTAGGCCAGATCTGCCAGGGCCACCTCGGGCACGGGCATAAAGCTGTTGGCCCCAGCTCCGGATCCGGGTCCTCCTTGTTGCTGCTGCTGCAGGAAGTTGAATGCCTGTATGTGCTTGATGTTGTTCTGGAGCACGGCCATATTGTGCGTATGCTTCTCGCTGGTCATGTGTATGCGCAGATTGCGGGCAACGGATGTCTCGTAGCTACAGATATCGCAACGGAACGAGGGCTTTGGTTTCATGGACGCTGATGACACCGTCGAACTCATTGCCGAATTGGCTGAGCTGCTGACGATGACACCGACATTGCCGCTGCTCGAGGAGCTCGAGGTCGCTTGTTGTGGAACTCCCACGCCCACGCCCACTCCTACTCCCACCCCGACGCTTGCGACTGGACCTGGGCCAGTTGCTCCTTGCGGCGACGGGCTGGGCAGCATTAATTTAGCACTCGCTGCTGCCGCCGCGACTGCGACCATGTTCTGGGAGCTGTTCAACTCCTGCATGTTGTTCAAGTGCTTGTCGGACTGCATATGTATGGATAGGTTGCCTTTTGTTGTCGTCGAATAATTGCAAATCTCGCAGCGGTACGGCTTGTACCCGCATGAGTATGATTCTCCACGTGCCAGTCGTGGATGCTGTTGGCCTGCAACGGGGCAAAGATACGGTAAAGAAGATATGGAAATATAAATGGAAGGTATCTCTCTCTCTTTGCAGACTATTCTGACACAAAAATCTATTCCAACCCAATTCAAATTCTCGATAAAACCGGAACTTTGTTTGATTAGCTTAATCAGTGGGAACCAGCTGGATCGGAGCATATAGCTGCCATAGGAACGATCAATACTCGGCATTTACTATTTTCCCTGCGCTTCTTAAATACGGGCAAAGTATGAGCATTGTGAAAATGTTGGGTCTGCGAGGGTATTAAATCTTCGGGGTGCCGCAGATAGCCCTTCTTTCTTGTTTGGATTCTAAACAAAAATATTTTTGTATTCATTCTCAATTAACTGAATAAAAGGTGTTCAATAGTGTTGTAAACGTTTATATAACAGGCTGAAGAAGCAATTTCTGACCCTTTGAAAACGATCTGCTTTTAAATATCATCCACAGCCAAGTCGATGTAACCTGACTTGTTTGTCAACCTAACTCCTCATCTATAAAAAATCATTATTTTAATTTTATCGAAACATAAATACATCTCCAAGCACATTTGACCAAAGCATTTTATTTTGATTTCTGCATCAAATCATATGCAAATTATAACAACTTGTTAAATAGAATTTTTATGTAATATGCTTACAAAATTATCATGCTTTTTATCTTTGTTTGTCTTGGCATAACAAATTTGAGTATATTAATTCTTGATCAAGACTAAGAGATGAAAAAAGTAATCTTGAATTGTGGTAATGATAATAAAATATAAATATCTCTTCCTGAATTATCAAAGGATATCTCTTAAGAGACTGTTGATTTCATTTGATCGTTTTAATAATTCAAAGAGCAGGACTTTTATATATTTTAATAATTTCTCCTTCATATTTGTTTTAAGTAGATATCCAGTTTGTTTTTCGACGTCAAACTTACCTGCCAAGCAGTATCCACAGGCACTCTCTCCATCTGGATGTTTTTCACGCATGTGGATCTCTAATGTCTCCTGATATTTGTAATGCCAGTTGCACTGCGGACATTTGAGGGTCTTGCAGGAGTTCCGTGTGGACATCTGGACTCCGCTGTTGAGACGCGCCGAGCTCAACAGCATTTCGCAACTGCAACAAATCAAAGGATTTCAATTAAAGCATATATATAAAATGATGCAACAGTCGAATTTGCCGACTAATTATATACCCTTTACACAATACAATTGATATATGTGCATAATATATAAAATTAAAATAGATTTTAGAATATGTTATTTCATAACCATTTACGACCATCTACGAGAACAGGAATATTGAATCTTTGAATACCGTATTACCAACTGTTAAACCTCCGAAGATTATTTGGGTACGGAGTATCTGCTCGTCGGTCACTCTCTAGCTTATCGCAAGTATCGATGGCTGTGGAGACAGCTGTCTGTATATTAAATTGAAGTAAATACGATTCACTTATAGGGGCTTCAATCTCTCAGCATTGAAAATATTCCGGATATATAACGCAAGATCATAATTACTTAATTCGAATTCGAGCCTGCACTATTGTGAACGAAGCGTACGTCAAATAGTAGTTCACAATGGCGGGCCGAGGCACCCTACAAAGTGTTGATGAAACTTAATGATACCGAGGCGCGCATTGCGACAATTGAATTGAAGCAGAGCCAGAACCAGAGCCAAAATCAGAATCAGAATCAGAATCTCTATATGGCATTTATTAAGTGAAATCAGTGCAATTGGTTTAATTTATTTTAGTTAAGCCGAGTCGCCCTTGCTCACGTCCGCCCGGCGGTTCCTTCCCACAGCTCATTCTCATGCCGGCTCATAAGAGATCTCCACAATGAGTTCATTGAAATGGGCTCTTATTTAAATACCATTGTTTGTGATTTAAGCTTAAATCAAGCTACGTAATATTATATCGCCATATCATACAAAGCGCCTGCTTATTCAAAATGACATTTCCACAGCCCGAATAACACACTTCAGACTTTTGCAGATATATTAAGCGATTAATTCATGGCACATTTATGATATACCTTAACCCTAGCGCCAGGCTGCCATTTTAATCATTCTACACATTTATGAATGGGAAATTTGTTCTTGTGCTAAAGTATGGTATGACAGCCAAGTGTTTGTATATGTTAAAGAGCAAGACCTCAACCTTCAAGAATGAGTTTTGTTTTTGGGAATAGGCGGAGCTATATTAGGAGTTAAATATTCCTAATATGTAATTAAATCATCACACAAAATTCAAAATTGTAACTGTGCTCTTATTTTACAGTCTTTCGCTTGGCAGAGATCAGAATCGATTCCCCCACAAAATACACCAAATTAAATTGAAAACAAAATCATTTACTTTATCATTGGTAAATCAAAAGAGTTCCCGGAAGGAAGTCTTACATCTAGCTATCTGTTCTTCCAAGTGAGGCCAAGAGTTGTTAACGTTTCCTTGGAACAAAATATATGTAATTATAAAATAATTGATACTTTTTTAAAATAAATAAAAAAAAACTAGTGTATAATGCAAATCCAAGTAATAATTTGTAAAGTTTTTTGTTTTATTTATATACATATGTATATTCCTTTTTTTTCGAATAGATAAAAAGGTTTTAAATATATATTTGATCTGCAATGATATTCGAGAGCCTTGAAATTAAATTTGAAAAAATTAACTCTTACAGAAAGAGATTGGAGGGGTTTTACTTCTCCAAAGCCAGACGAAGTTGTGACTTCGGGGGTCTATATAGTATATATATGTATTTTCGCATATTGCTCGAATGATGAACGCTCAAAATATTCAAGAACTTGATTTCCATTAACAAAGATCATGGTGTGCGTAATAATGCATTGAGTTAATTTAAATGCCATTGATGGTAGGATTCCAGCTCAGCCCCCAAAGCGCATGCAATCAATGTGATCCCACAAATTCGAATGAACATGTCCCAAGGTTCATTTGCGTTTAAATGAACAACCGGCATAGCCGGAGGCAGGACGTGACGACGTGAGGCACGTCCTGCTCCTGTCTCCTCCCACTTTCCCCCTTTGGCATGTTGTGCATGTGAAAATTAGACTAATGAGTTATTTTATGATTTTGGTGGAGAAACCCCTTCGGACTGTCAAAGTTCAAACAGGAGCAATAATTGCGCATATAATACGCCGAGCAGGCCGAGTCGTAACCCCTTTTTTGCATTGTCAGCACGTGGTTGCCACCCTGTCCAAAAGCTTGTCGACTACAACTGTCCCGCCCTGCTCCCCTGCTGGGTCTGGTTGAGAGACAAGGCCAAGAAAAAACCCAGCCACCCTTTCATAACAAATAAAACGCCGGGAGCACTTGCTTTCTCACGCTCAAATTGGTAATAATACGCTTGAATGACATAATTCCGTTTTGGTTCCTTGTCCGCACTACCCTCTGTCATTAATGTTTTTGGCTTAGATACATTGTAGTGAGAGGCTACTGCATTAAGTATAAATTGTTACTAGGTCATTCTTACACTCGCTCCTCTCTGGCCATGGTCTGCCCCAGGTCCTTCCGAACTACTAGGAATGCCAACTTTAGCCACAATATGCTTCCCAATTAGAAGAAAAGTACCGCCAGCTCTTGTCTCCTTATGACGGGACTTAAACTCTTTGAAGCCGATCAGACACAACTTGAAATATCGCCCAAGAAAAAAAAAGTTCATAAAGATCTAAAAAAAATACCCAACAAATCCCTATTTCCACTAAGGAGCTGGAGTTTTCGAAGTATGAAAAACACATCAAATGATTTCAGTGGTAAGCAAACATGCTTTTAGTACTATCTTGATGACCCGATTTAGAATATATAAATCGAGCAAATAGCCAGATAAAAAAGCCTTTTTTTGGTAATTAATATATTCAATTTGGTATATATATATATAAAATATATTTGTATATGTTATAAATATAAAGGGTTTTTCTTGGGCACTTACCGAGTACAATCCACGCCTTGAGGTCGGCCATTGATGTGGTCGGAGCAGGCGCCAATTGTGAAGCTTGAGGCAGTCGCATTGCCAACGTTGCCAACGGACGAGGCGCTGGGCGAGATGGGCATAGACGCTGAGAGCCCGCCGCTGCTGCTACCATTTGGAGAGCGTGGAGGTTGGGACTGGGACTGGGACTGGGATTGGGATTGGGACTGTGATTGGGACTGTGATTGGGATTGTGGAGTAGCCGGCGACCTGGTTCGGTGTTGAATATCAATCAATTCACAGGTTTTGCAGTCGACACCCTTAAAATCCGGATGCTCCAAGCAGCTGGCTGGAAACAAAAGCTGTTTTTGCTGCTGCTGCTGGTGTAGCTGCTGCTGAAGAAACTCGGTGATTAGTTTGACACCCCTCGCGTTCTGTTCGTTTGCCAGGGCAGCGAGGGATGCGTGAAAGGAACTGAGTTGGGACTGCATCGGTGGGAAGAGGCCGGCAGTGCCAGACACTTGTTGCTGTTGGAGCGACAGGAGGTGCTGTTGCAATATATCGGCTGCTGTTAATGTGGCATCCGTGTCCATTGGATGCGGATGCTGCTGCGGTGCTGCTAGTGGTGGGGGAGAGTCCGAGCCGGAAGCAGTCGCCGCTGATATTGACACAGTTGGACTTGTGGTAACGTGGCCCGTCATATCTGGCCTTTGGCTACGCTTATTTGACTTATCGCTATCTAGATTATCAGTACTAGCCTTTATACTATCTGCCGGTGGCAAGGGCTCCTCCTCCCGACTTCCAGCTTCTGCGGCTCCTGCTGCTGAATCTTTCGGAGCCGGCGATTGTATTGGCGTGGACGCTGATGCGGGTGAGATGCAAGATATTGATGATGACGATGCGATCGACGACGATGCGGATGTTTTTGTTGGGTTATTAGTCTTTATTGTTGCTGAATTTAAGGAACCAAATTTCACAGTTGATTTTGGAGCTACTTTCGGAGATGATGTTGTCCTCATCTCCGCATCGGCCTCGGTCTCTGTTTCTGTCTCGGCTACAGCTCCATCGCTAGGTCCATCGCCATGTCCATCGTTCAGGCGATCTTCTTTGCTGCTGTCCACGGCGGATAGTTGATTGAGGGCGGCAATGGTTTGGTTGGCATCGATGCCAGCTAGATCCACTGGCTCGACGGCATTGACATCCAGTGGCTGGAGAAAGGATATCTGCGGCTTCTCATCCATATTACGCTGAATGATAGCACTGGAATATTCGCGATTCAATAGCTGTTGCTCCAGCTCCTGCAGATTGAGCCGATGTTCCGAGTTCGCATGCAAGCTAAATGAGTTAACGGTGCCGAAGGACAGTTTGCATATAAAGCACATCAATATCGGTTTGTGCTTGTGGCTCTGTATGGCATTCCTTGGGTCTTGGCAATGACTGTTTGCATCTTGGGCAGACACTACACGAAACGAATGGATCTTTGGGCTCAGCTGCTGGCAACCACCCAAAATCGAACCCGAGCCCGAAACCGAACCGTCGCCCCCTCCTTCAGTATGTGCTCTATCCTCTGACTTTTCTGTTACTCTGCCACGAACTATGGATTGTTGTTGTTGTTGTGCAGACGTAGCTGTCGTATGTCCAGGGTCCAATGGCGTGACTATGGCACCGCTTGAGCTCAGATCTATGCTGGGGACAGTCGCATTGCCTGCATCGATAATTAACGCACTGCCGTCAAGATTGTAAACTATTTTGCCATTAAAATTTTCAACATCAGAGCTGGACATTGGAGAGCCGTCGTTAGCATTATTAGAGTGCTGAAAAACAAAAACCGAATACACAATAAACTCAATTAAAAATCAATTATAGAGTATTTGTCAAGCACATAACTAACCAACATTCCATCTTAGTGGATGTTGACAATAAGGAAAGGTACACTAAACTTGAGATAAACTTGCATCCAGTTTTCTCCTCTATAGCTAAATAATGAATATTGTCAATACTAGCCGGCATTCCCCAGCAAGATTTTTATACCATGAACCCATTCAAATATAAGGGTATATTGTATTTGTGCAAAATCCAAATGTATGTAACAGGCAGAAGGAAGCATCTCCGACCCCATAAAGTATATATATTCTTGATCAGCATCAATAGCCGAGTCGATCTAGCCATGTCCGTCTGTCTGTCCGTCCGTCCGTCCGTCCGTACGTATGTACGCAAGGATCTCAGAACCTATAAGATCTAGAGACTTGCAATTTTAGATGTAGATGCTCCTAGTTCTCGCGCAGATCGAGTTTGTTTCCGATAATCGATAACTTACTCCGTTTCCAAGCAATCGTTAAAAATCTATATCGACATCCTGTTTTTTTAGCAAATTGGGTAAAAAATAAGAGCTAGAGCCACCAAACATGATATGTTGCTTCTAGAATATTTTAGATATTTTAAGTATCTTTCATTTAATACCTATCGCCACCTCCCCGCTACCACCCCAGAGCTATAAATCAAGTTAATAACCCAAGTTTTATTGCCAACCAATTTAAACCACAATTTAAATGCAATTGACTTTTTCACAATACACAAATATTCTATAGTACTATAAGATATACTGTAGAAAATTTCATAAAGATCGGTTAAGAAAAACCAAAGCTATATGCAACTGCGCAATTGAATGGGGCAGCAGCTTTAAGAATTTCTGTATACATGTACACACACACATTCATGCGCGTCTGCTTCGCATTCTTATAGCATGGCAGAGGCATAGCAAGTGGTGCGGTCTGTCGCAAGTTCGAGCCCTGCCAACGAAACTTTTAATACCCTGAACCCATTAAAAATGGGTATAAGGGTATATTGTATTTGTGCAAAATCCAAATGTATGTAACAGGCAGAAGGAAGCATCTCCGACTCCATAAAGTATATATATTCTTGATCAGCATCAATAGCCGAGTCGATCTAGCCATGTCCGTCTGTCTGTCCGTTCTTCCGTCCGTCCGTCCGTATGTATGAACGCAAGGATCTCAGAACCTATAAGAGCTAGAGACTGGTGTGGCTGTTGAGTAGAGGCATAGCAAGTGGTGCGGTCTGTCGCGAGTTCGAGCCGTGTCAAGGGAACTTTTTTTTATTAATTTATTTGGAATAATAGGGTTCAGGGTATCCCCCAGTCGGGAGCTCCCGACTAGAACCTCTTACTTGCTTTTGGTTGTTTTACTTCCAATTTACGTCTAAAGTTACATTCTTCATAGATATTTAAATGTAAATATACATATGGAATTAATTTTAAGACATTTTTACGTTTAAAATGGTAGATGATTTTTACAGTTTTGCGTATTTTGCTGGAACTATGGATTAGACTATAGAATTATGTGCAAGATCTCATTGGTATTTTGCTTACCATATTTCATTATAATGCCTGTACTCAAAATTGATTTAAGACATGTTTATGTGGAAATAAGTAGTGGGAATGTACCTATTACTTTAAGGGTAAAAGCTTACGATAAAGTCGAAAAAAAAACAACTCCTGTTTTGGGTTCTCCAGGGGTATTCATTTCCATTTGCACGCTTTATATTTATTAATTTACCATTTTTCTGAAGTATCCCACTGATTCGGCTATTTAATTGAGGCTCCATTTTTCGAGAGGGCAAAGCATTTAACGAACATTTCGACTTTATAATAAATAATTGAATTAATGCAATTAGCATAAATAACACGAATAACGAACTCAGAAAGGAAATTTCTAGGAAAGGCACATATTTTAAAAATGTATGCACATGACTTATAGCCTACTACCACTTTCTACATTTTTTAAATTTTTTTGCGAATGTCACATTTCGTCCTAATATGAAAATTTTGGCCGATCTATTTATTTAAAGAAGCGGTACTTGTAACATTCATATGTTATCGACAACGGTCTCTTGCCAATGGAACCGCAAAATGTGAGCTTTTAAAATGAAACTTTCATTCAGCATAGTGGAATCAGGTTATTATCAAAACAAAATCTGAACGCATGCTGAACCAGGCTCTACTATCACATCTAGGATTGTTTTTCCCATTTTGAAGTTTTAACTTGAATTGAGAAGCTAAAATAATTCATATGGCCGCTTGCCCAATGTAACATGTTTATGCACACATCTTCACATTCACAGAATTATCACAGGCATCAGCAGTTGATTTGAATGTCGTTGAGCAACAAGAACAGTGATGACAACATAGGTAAGAACACAAACAATGTAAAATGGGTAATTACTTGACAATTATCTGAAATGCGTTTTCAAAGTGCTTTATAGCTATTTAATGACAACGGGGTTCTGATGACAACTTAAATATGGTGTGCGTGTGCGCTCTGTCTGTCTGTTTGTCTGCTTGTGTGTGTGTGTTGCCTCGCCGCACACAGGCAAAGTGGGGTCTGTCTTTGTGTGCGTGTGTGTGTCTGTGTGTGCACTCAATGTAACTGCAATTTGCATTCAAACCAATGTTGACAATAACTATATGCATGCGCATATGTATGTATGTCCATACTCGAATTCACACACACATGCACAGAAACTTTCGTGCACACACACATACAGGCATATGTATGTATGTACTAATTTGCGTACGATAAAATTACAGTTCAACGTTGGGCTTAGAGATGGGTGCGTGTCCCTTTTGTAAAATACGTCAATTCAAACTCAATCCTTCGCAGTGCTGCCAATTACGATTTTTACTGGCTAAATTATAAAATTTTCAAAGCTCGTTTGACACTGAAGCGAAATTGTTGAAGTTGTGCTTGAAATTCTGGCTATTTTTAAACTGTTAGGAATCTTGGATTCGCCCTCAATCTTTGACCACCATTTCCATTAAGGGGGGTGGATTCTGCAAAAAGCACGAAACATAGATCTCAATATGAGTTTAATCGGAAGGTAAGCAAAAAAAATGCACATAAAGTAATTACAGTCGAGCGCTGCGATTCCTGACTCAGACAAACTGTTTTATATATGGAAATATATTCCTTGATTTTAGAGATTAAATAAAGTTTGTCTTGATTTCCAAACATAGCTTATTGGAACTAAACTGTCAACCGACGTGCGCGGCACGAGTGTTCGTGTCACGAAGCAACAGACGAAACAAGTCCATCTCCATTTGGTAATGAAATTAAATGGTTGAATAATGAGGGCTGGCAAACATAGTTAACAGTGCACTGCATAAATTCTTATGGGATATAGATGGTTAAACATTAAACTCGGAAATAAATAGTTTTAAGGAGAGCAGAAGCGATTTTATATAGGTATGTAAATATTTAATTGCTCTTATTAGGCGAGTCATTGGCCGTGAAATAAAATCTCTGCACAAAAATGCATACATATGTGTCCTTTCACTCATGTAAATTACACTGTGCTACACACAACTACAGCCCGAATTTTTAATTAAAGGCGAAACCATCTAATTGATATAAAAAGGTAACTTTAAATAACCTGAACCCATTGAATGATTTTGTGCAAATGGGCAAAACAAGCGGAAGGAAGCTTCTCCGACTCTAACTCTCTCTGCCTCTTTCTGTCTCTTTTAAAATGATGGGTGCATTACCTCAAGAGGAGAATCGCAGAGGAGTGCCGGCAAGCCCTACTTGCATTTTCGAGCAACGCTGAGAGCAGCTATTTTTGAATTATTATTCATCATTTAACAGCGACTAAGCATCTTTAACTCGATTTACTTCTTCCTATTTTTTTTTGGGCTAATTCTTTCTCGCGCTTCGTCTTATTAACTTATTTTCTCTTTCTGTTACCATTACCATCTCTTTCTCTTTTTACCTCTTTTTCTAGCCTCCCCTTTTAACATTTAACTTTTCCCGCTCTTGATACCTCTTAAAAGTGAGTATCCACCCCATGCCATATTTAAGCCCTGAATATTGCATAGAGATCCCTAGCTTAGTTCCCTTTCTTGTTTTTAACATATTTTCTGCTGACATAAGTCTAAAGTGTATGACAACCCGTAAAATTGTGGAGTTTAACAAAGGCTGTTTAGGGAAAATATTACGAAAACTGCTTGGAGCCCAAAGGCAAATTATCTTCGAAAAAATCCATTCAGTATGGGATGTTTAAAGAGAATTCGATTTATGAATGTTGACATATAAGTACGGATTCTTACAGACATAGAGACTCGACCAAAATTTATCAAGATTTATATACGTCAAGGATCCGGCTGACTTGTTTTTTATAGATTCGCCTATTTTTGGGCAACATGATTCGATTAAAGCCCGATTTGCAGTATTATAAAACATATTCAGTTTCATTAAAATTTCATTAACATTAATTTTGAAATACTTAGGCTCTTCGGGCATGTCGTGCGATTAGCATGGGCACGTTTGGCATAGGTTATTGATGAAGACAGAAAGGAGGAGAGGGGTCAAGGGACGGGAATTTGCATTGTGGATTTGCCAGCATATTGCAACGCATTTTGGCGTCAAAAGAGTAACAAGAAAGAGCAGAAATTATGAGGACCGAAGGTGTAATGAAAAGACTTGTAGAACCCACCACAGGCCTTTAACTCTGCAACCGATGAGTGTGCGCAGTTTTTGCATACCAGCCGCGACGGCAGAGGCAGAGGCAGGCGTTAGAGATGGGCGCGTGCCCGGTACGAAAGAAGCCAGGGCCCGCACGAACAACAACTAACTAAAAAAAATAAAAATATACTGAAACATAATATTTAATTTGTATAATTATTCTGGCACATAGAGATTATCGTCTTATTGAATTTTAATTGGGTTTTGGTTAATAAGATTAGATATTCGACAAAGCTATTCCAGCTGAGCCCAGCCATGATTGCATCAATCTCGGATACTCGGATCGATTCAATCGATAACCGATTATCAAGTTGTCGGAATATGAGCAAAATAGTCGACTTTGAGGCTCTAGGACATTTGCTTTCCATTTAAGCGAATATTCTTTCGAATCGAACAAGTCAATTTTTGGTTTGAGGTGAGTAAAATAGATTTTCGACTCGTTCCAGCGAGTTGCCGTGCGCGTCGTGTCTTTTCCTGCCTGCACCCACCTCTATCAACCCCCCTTCCCGCACACACGCCCCGTCGAGGCGACGACCCGAAACAAAACACGAGCGCGAGCCATAAGCCATCGCCGTCGTCGTCGTCAAAGCTGCATGCCACTCGATGGTGGTGGTTGATATATCACGGAATTTGTGTGTGGGTGTACTGCATAAGCAAGACGAGCACACAATATAAACCAGTTGAGGAATATGAAAACAGATAACGACTCCACACAGAAATAAAGACGTACAACAACAAGGCACGTGCAACCTGAACACACACACACACACAGTCCAACTCTTACCGCAGATTCAGATGTATAAAGGCAGTCTCAGATCGGAGTGTGGAGTGTAGACCATGGATTGTGTGGAGGGGAGTGTGGGGAGGAATTAAGCACAAGGAGAACAGAACCTTGACTTGCCTTTGTTTTGTTATGCAGCAAAAGGAGGCACTGAACTTTTTATTTCTGCAAGTAGTACGTACAGAGCGAGGCGTTCTTAAGTCTTACATTTCTGATCGGCCCAAAGCTAATCACAGTTTCTGACTTGCATATCAATTGTGTACAACACAGATGTACAAGCATAAAGAAAGTGCTGTGCAATTTCAGAAAGATCCGCGCACCTATCTAGTCTGAGTACAAATTTAAATAAAATGTATATTCCAAGACTTGCCACGTCCTTGTCCGTGGTAAGTTTTGTGCTTAAAATTGTCAGATATAATATATATATACTTGAACAATCTTGAATTTAAAGTCTAAAGTTAAATTTTACATAGATATTTTAAAATAGGTTTCGAACAGAAAACCAAAAGTTGCCATCAACGTGTTCTGCCCATATTTGGGCGAGAATCTTGAAGTCGAAAAATCAACTTTAGTTCATTAAACCATTGACCCGTATTATCCCTTAAAAAACTATAGAGCGTAATAAATAAATATTACAAATATTTTAAAAATGGCCCTTTAATTCTTAGGTATTTAAAACTTCTCACTTATGCCCTTTTTACAAAGCTGCCATACATTTCGAGGGTAGGTTTGGTAGTATCCAAAATTGGAAATAATTTTGTCTATTTTCGACATGCAGGAGGAGTCATGAATTCTCTAATTTCATATAGGAATGGGTGTAAAGAAATAAGAATGACTAGGTTACCAGATCTATCTGTATATATTAATTGAACTGATTTTAGATCGATGCCAATTTTATTTCAGAAATGCATTAACTCCGCATTGTTACGTTTCTCTCTCCGGTTGCAGCTTGATACCATTTATCGAAATCGACCAAAACATTAGATATCATATTTGGTGGATGCCAATTTTGGATAATGATCAAGTTAAGCCCGCTATTCACTACGAAAAATTCGGTAGAATGGGCTATTAATATAGTCAAGCTGATCAATAATACATATACTATACGGGGTCGGGGAGCGGATTCCTCGTTTACATACAATTGCACAAAAACATTATGCCCATTATACCCAATTTTAATGGGTTCATCCCATAAAAGAAATCACGGTTAGGAGATGAAAAAAATTAACCTCCAGATGAACTAGCTTAAACGAATTTTCAAATAAATATATTTCATGGAATTAAATAATAGATATAAATAAGCATACTAGCTAGCATTCCCTACCCTTAAGATATTATTTTTTCACTTATTTATGTTAAATCGTCGAAAAGTTGTCCTATTTTCATATAATAGATAAAAATCGAAATCGAAATCCTCCTTGAATGGCTTTCTTTGGTATTTAAC